AAGGATGAAATGAAAATGAGAAAAGTAAAAAAAAGAAAATATATAAGAAAATAACCAAATTATAAAAATCTATTCTAAAATCTAAGAGAACTTGTCTATAGATATAAAAATCTGCTAACCAGATAAAAAACTATCTATATGGTCATAAAAATCTATATATAGAGCTATCTGACAAAAAAGAAACTATAAACTAAGATACACTTTAACCTGTACTAAGGGCTAAAAATTATATATATATGACTTTGAAATATTGCATATCTCTATTATATCACTCCAGTTTATAACTCTCATAAAATCTATCTCGAATTCTAAAATGCTGATTTTAAAACCTCAACATATAATCATTAGTTCTATTTATAACAGACTAATTTTTCCTAAAATTCTCTTATAGTTTTTATTTCGAACTTTGCTTCTTTGCTATATGAGATTAAACAGGGGATCTTCCTTATAGTTAACTGACATCATTAAAAACTATTTTCTCAGGTCTGTCACATAAAATATTCATTTTTATATAGTTAATGCTAATCCAAACATGGAACTTTCTATATATTTTAATTTCACTTAAACAGAACTTCTTCTTTACATATGATTGTTGTGTTCTTTATTCATTATATCATAACTCAAGACTTTCTGAAAATAAAAATATAAACAATACTAATCTTTTGAAGGAGGTAACCAAATCCTCCACTTTTTGTCAAAAATTATGAAAAAAAAGAACAGCAGAAGAAAAGTGTAGTTTTGTGAGTTTTCTAATCAAGAAATATTGTTCTAAGAATTCTTTATAGCCTTCTGTTTTCAAAATAACTTGAGTTTTTTTTCTATTTACTGTTTTCAGAGACTTCTTCAGTTGGATGCCAAATGCAAAGAAAAGTCTATCCAAGAGAAGAAAGAGCTTGACCTTTTTACAAACTGTCCAAAATACTCACTCTTGGTATATTATGTTTAAGACTTCATCGACAATAGTTCATATTAAGAAAACTTCAAATTATTTGTTTACTTCTAGTCTTGAGTTTTCAACTTGCTTTTGGAAACTGGTTGGTACAATTGATTGTTGGGAAAAGTTGAAAAATGTTTAGTTTTATTTATTTAAATAGATCAATTTAATATTAAAGATATTTTTTTTATTTCATCTTTTGAATTTGTGTTTGTTATAAAAAGAAAATTAACTCTAATATAGTATGTAGTATTAACCAATAACCAAAGGATTCAAGCCTCTAGTAAAGATTAAAAATCTAGAAAAAAGCTTAAAATTTACTAAATCCCGATTATAACCTAAATTTATATAGTGAAATAATTGTTGGTGGCGATTCTACCTCGTAGTAAAACTTTTAGTAATCTTGGGCAAAATCAGTTAACTCCGGCCCTACCAACCTGGAAATCTGGGGTCTTCCTTTATGAGTTTGTGAGAGATCTCTTTATAATAACGGATCCGCATTGAGCGCATCCGAATTCGACCTTTTATGGATTCGAAATGGATTTGTTGAATCGAATCTGAATCTTGAATCCTATTTGATAAAATGCGAATACCCTTATGTGTATTACTAAACATTTTTGTGAAGATCCCAATTTGTTGGTTTTGATATCATTAGATTTGCCTCATCAAGACGAATTGAATAATATTGAAAATTGTTTAATTTAGTCACGAGATATTCGCAAAAAACGCCTGGTGGCGTAGTAAAATAAATTTATTTTACTGTACTACCATATATTTTTTGCAAATATCTTAATCCAAATTGAATGATTTTAGTATTATTAGATTCATCTTATCAAGATAAATTGAATAATATTAAAATTATTTAATTTAGATTACTAGATTATAAGATATTTACAAAAAATACTTGGCAATATAGTAAAAAATTTTTTTGTTTTTTGTAAATACAGTATTTTATTATTTAGTAATTTAGATTGAATAATTTTTGATATTATTAGATATGTATTATTAAGATAAATTAAATAATATTAAAATTGTTTAATTTAAATTATTAAAATATATTATTTACAAAAATATTTGGTAATATAGTAAATAAAAAAAATTTATTTTATTATTTTTTTTAATAATTTAGCTGTCCTGTTTCTGTTTATTGATATTATATTATTTTATATAACTATACTTATTCAGATATAATCTGCTTTAGTAAATTTTAAGCTTTTTTCTAGATTTTTAATTTTTACTAGAGGCTTGTAGCCTTTGTTTA